TACCTACGTCTGGAAGAAATGAATGAAATGATGATGTACATAGTAAGAGCTGAATAAAAATACTAGTTTAGTTTTGTTATCAAGTAACACTGTAGATGGTTGCAGGCATGGCCTGAGTCCTATAAAACCTTTTAAAGAGAGCCCTAGCATTTTTACCACCTTGATCATACATCCAACTCAATTCCCAAAATATGTGATGAGTGCTTATTACGTCTCAAGAAATTATTAGCAGTTTAGAGGTTACGGTATATTTTTAAAAAATGATTGACACGTCTCAAGAATGTAAGGGGACACAGAGAGTGTTTACAGGTATAGGACAAAAAAGTAATCCAAATCCAAGCCCACTGCCACCACCCTCGTAGGTCCTTATTTCCTCCCAGCTGGATAATAGTACTGGTCTGACTTATCTCCTCACCTCCAGTTCAGTGTCCTTCTACCCAACCAACTAACCACCAGGTAAATCTCAAGACATAGTTTAGACCCTGTTCCCAAAAGCCCAATACCTACATCACCGTGGCATTCTTTACCTTTTACAATAGGGCCCCATCAAACTTTCGAGTCTTAGCTCTCAAACAAACCGGACAACTGCCTTGCTCAAACATGTCCCATGTTTTCCTTCCTCATGCTATTACTCCCAGTGTTCCCTAAGTTGGAGTGCCCCACCTCATTCCTGCCTGTCAAACATAAACTCCTTCATATGGCCTGACTGAGTTTTCCACCAGACACTAGCTCTCCCTCCTCTTATTTCATTTCTACTGTCCTTACCGCATTGTTCATATTAGTGTAATTTATGGACTCTGTTCCTGATTGTGGGCAAGGATTGTCTATATCACCTGTTTGTATTTCCTCTAGTTCTTTGTATGTAGCCAACAAATGTTTATTGAATTACATCCAGAATTCTAACTTTAGTACCTGGACCCTGCCTTTGCTAGTTTTTAGTTATGTGATATTGAGTTACTTAATTAACCTCTCTAAGTCTTGGTTCCCTCATCTGAAAAATGGGAATCATAACAGCACCCACCTCATGGCTACCATAAGGATAAAATAAGACAGTGCATTCTGAATGTGTTAGCATTGTGCTTGGCACAGTAGGAGCTATGGATTCTCAGAGATGGAAAAGATCCACTTAGGCTGGAAGAATGGTGGAGGAGGGCTTCCTGGAGGAAGTGGAATGCGAGTTGGGGGGTTTGAATAAAGATAAAAGAGAAGACATTCTAGGCAGAGGGACCAATCTGAACAGAGACTTAAGAAGAAATAGGAAAGAGCAGGATGTGCTGATCAAATCAGGGCTGGTCAAATCCCGGAAAATACCTCTGGAGAGATTCCCCAGGAAGAGAGAGAAAGAGGAAAAGGACAGGGCGAGTAATTTTTGCAGGAGTATGGATTGGCAGGTTGGCAGGAGGGGAAATCAGTCTCTGGCAGTTTGCTGAAAGTTTTTGTCATTGCACTTGCCCCTTTCAGCAACAGCAACAAGATTAGAAGTGGTGGCCAGTTAGATGAGTGGCAGGATCAGAGTGTGTTTATAGCAAGTTGCAGCAAAGGATGGAAATGGACAAAATGACAACTAGTTGCTAATTATCAGCAGCAATATTAAAACCCTACACTTGTGTTAAAGGATTAATTACAGAAGTCCATGAAAGAGTGAATTTGGCTTCGTATCAGCTCAGGGAGAAAAAGCTCTAGAGGAAAGGGGGTGGAGAGGATTGGTTATAAAGTCAGTTTGAGTCACGAAATTTTCTAACGCAATAGTCTAGTGGATGGAGGGAGTCAGATCAAGGAAGGCCGGGGTCTCACTGTGCTCTGGTGGGCACATCACACCTGAGTATTTTAGGTAGTCGCCGTTTGGTTGCAAGGAACAGAAACCCAACTGGGAAGAGAATGTATTGGTCCACAGAGGTAGACTTGGTGCCCCAGATCTCTCAAATAGGCCAGTGTCCCCATCCCCCAGCTGCTGTGAGTGTTGGCAGCTAAGGGTTCCCAGATGCCCGAAATTCCAGAGAATTGCCCTCAGCTGAAGGGAGGGGCTTTGGGGACTTTAACCCCCTCATGGCCCACAGACGCTGGCTGACCGATACTGGGATACACAAAGCTGCTCATTGCCTCATGAGCGGAGAACTCCACGGTGCGATTTATGTTCCAGAGCTCTCTGCTGTGGATCAGGCCAAACTAAGATCAAGTGGAACCTGGCTGGGCTCTTTCCGTTTCCCTGTCTTGCTCAACTTCCTCCTTTACATGTTTTTCCTCCCGTAATAAATCCTGTTCACCAGATCTCTGTTACAGGCTGTTTCTAAGGATCCTGACCTAAGACACCCACAAAATCAAATAGCCAGAAAACAGCTGGATCCAGGTTCTCAGTCATCAGCCATTGTAGCCTTTATCTGTATCTCAGCTCTGACTGACTGTGTTAGTATTGACTTTATCCTTGAGCAACTTTGTTTGGTGATCCTCCCTGTCAACTTCAAATGAGTAGCTGGACAGTTCAGCAGCTTCAGTGCAAAGAGAACTTCACGGTCCCAGTAGTTCCAACAAAGGTCCCAGGACTCATTCTGGTTGGACGGCCTTGGGTCACATGGCTTTCCCTAATCACTGCAAATGGCCGTAGTGGTATGGAGGGGAGAACAGCGCTAGACTGGTCGGGCTGGACTGGGTTATGTGCTCATCCCTGGAAAGGTGAGTAGTGAAGTCAGCCCTGTGGCAGCCATATGAACAGCGCACGGAGAGGAGTGGTTCTCCAGAGGATGTTAGGGTCCCTTTATGAGAAGAAAGAGAACGTTCTCTGGAAGGACAAAAGTAACACATGTCCCCAATAGATCTTGACAAACTGAAGGATGTCCACATGAAGTTATTAGGATACTGAGGCACACGGAAACCATCATCTGAGGAACGGTGGCAAGAAGAAGGGATTTTATCTCTGTTGCTTTGGGGGATGGGTAGAGGGCATGGGAAAGGGGGCATAACAGTTATCTTCAAATATTTGGAATGTTGTCATGATGAAGTAGGATTAGATGCGTTCTGTTAAGCTTTAGGGGATAACGTTAGAATCTAGGGTCAGAGACTAGAGGGAGCCAGATCCTCCATAGGAAGTAGAGAGAGCCAGCCCTGATGGGCTAGTGGTTAAAGTTCAGCGTGCTCTGCTTTGGTGGCCCGGGTTTGGTTCCTGGGTGCAGAATGGAAGCACACCACTTGTCTGTCAGTAGCCATGCTATGGTGGCAGCTCACATAGAAGAGCTAGAAGGACTTACAACTAGAATATACAACTATGTACTGGGGCTTTGGGGAGGAAAAAAAAGAAATACATATAAACACTTTATATACAAATACACATGTATATATGTACAAAATACATACAACTTAAGGTGTCCAGAAAAAGAAGAGGCCTATCTGAGAGGTGGTGAGCTTGCCATGTCTGGGAACCTGTTAATGGGCATATCACTCATCACATGACTAATAAGATACGCTTGTGCTTCCCTCTCACCTTGGCTTTTTCATGAGAGCTGTGTCTAGGTGGACTTTATCTGGAATGCCCCACCTTGACCTTGTCTTAGGGAAATCTGCCCCAACCCAATAATAATAATAATTCCAACCTGCAGTACTTTCTTCTCTAAGCTGTACCTCTGCACCCTCTTGTTAGTCATGACACTTGGGATATGCCGCCTAGCATCACACTGATCTCAGCATGTGCCTTAACTTCCCCCAGTTTGGTGAAAGTGCCCCAGGACAGTGACTATTTCATTTGCCTTACTCCTTCAGTGTATTACTCAAGAAACATTTGTTGAATAAATAATTTCATCAGGACTTTTGTGGAAGGATTCTTGCCTTGGGGGAAGGTGTGTGACTAAGGGGCCACAAGGATCCTGCTGAACTTCCAAGACTCTGTGACCAGTGTATAGTGCCGAACTCGAAGCTGACTTGTAGATGAATAATTGGGAATACCCAGGGCTGTGGGCTTTTGCAGCTGGAGGGGGGCAAGAACCCTCTCCTGCTTTTCCTCTGAGAGTTACAGCAAGGGGCAGTCCTGAGAAACCTTTGGGGGAGAAGAGGGCATCATAGTAAGAATTTCCTCTGGAATTTGAAGTGAGTTGCCCCTCTTCAGTCTTCGTGCCTTCCCACGGCTCCTCCTCAAACCTGGAAGAATGCCCTAGCCCCTTCTTCCTCTAACTACTGTTACTCCTCCCTCCAACCCTGCCTGGTGACACCATCCCCAGGAAGCTTTTGGGAAAGCACTTCCCCCTCTTTTCCACCCCGCCAAGTTGGAGTTATTTCTCCTTTTCTGGGCTCCCTCCCATTGGTGGGGGAGGGGAGCAAATGGCCAGCTTCCACCAAGGCACTTACACAGCGGCCCTTCCTTTGTTTCTTTTTCCCCTTTAGCCTGCTTTCTTTCTCCTTGTTGAAGTCATGGACTAGGTCCATGTGTGGCCTCTGTGCTTAATGCAGGAGACTCGAGCGCGTGCACACACACACACACACCCCTTCACTACATGAGTGGATGCTGGAAAGAGTAGGATATCAGCATTTTAGAATTGCAAGAGTGGTCGAGAGTCCCCTAGGGCAGCCCTCCCTTTTACAGATGCTCTTCCTGGAGTCTCCGGATACAAGCTTTTGGGTTCGTTCAGCTCCTTTTCTTCTCGAAGCCGAAAGCACTTTCTCTGCAGATGATCTCAACCTTCTAGGCAGGTAGGGAGGGGCAGGTAGGTGTCAGCATCCTGCCTTTTACCTTGGGGAAACTGACTCAGAGAAACGAGGCGACGGGCCTCGGTGGGGCGGGGGCTGTAACGGGAATTCAGGGCTCCAGGCCAGTGTGGAATTTATTGTGTCTCCTTTTGGGAAGCGTGAAAGTCAAGCAACCGATTTACGAGCTCCAGGCGGGGGCCTTTCAGCCTCCTGGAAGGATCGGGATCGGGGTCGGGAGGATTAATGCAGTAAAAGCTCGCGGCATTGACCCCTTGGCAACTTGGCGAGTTCCAGCGGGGTCCACCGCCCTTCCCTTGACAGGGTGACCAATGGGCTGCGGTCTGTTTAAGGCCCCAGCGCCCCGCCTCCGGCTCGTCGGCGACCTCCCACCCCCTCGCCGCCGCTCCGCCAGTTCCAGACTTCCCTCCGCGATGAGGTCATCTCCCCGCTGCCCATTGGCTGCACCGGGCCGTCAGTCACAGGAAGTCCCGCCGCCGTCCTCGCCTCCCTCGTACCCCTCCCTTCCCCGCCCTCCCGTCAGTCCGCCGCTCCCGGCCTCCACAAGGCGTCTGATTGGCTAGCGCCACTGTCACTCCCCCTGCGGGAGGTGTGGGAGGCGGGAGGTGGCTGTGGTGGGAGGGCCCGCAGCTTCCGTGGCTGAGAGAAGCCGGCGGCGGCCGGGTCTGTGGTGTCCGCGGCGGCGGCGCGAGCGACCGTTCCATCCTCCCCACCCCCTGGGCTGCGCTCGCCACACGCCCTCCGCTCGTGCCGACTCCTCCCCAGGTCCGCGCGCCTTGGCTGGACGCTGAGCCCCGGGAGGGGACGCGCGCGCTGGGAGCCGGAGCAGGGACCGCCGCGGAGCCGGGCCGGGAGGCGAGCGAGGCGGTGAGTGAGAGTCCGGGCAGGGACCCCTCCCCCACCGCGGCCCCGCCCCGAGCATCCTTTCTCCTCGCAGCCCAGCCGCGCGCGCCCTCGGGGGTCGGGCGGCACCGGCCTCGCGCCCCGGTGCCCTTCAGGCCGGGGTCGCTGAGCCGGGGCGGGCAGCGGGGGCGCGGCCGTGCACCTGTGCGCCGCCGGGCCGGGCCGCGCCGGTGGGGAGGCACCGAGGTTCCCGCCCCCGTGGCGCCCCGGACGTGTTTTGACTGCAGGGACCGGGTGTCGGCGCTTTCCCCGGGATCCTGGGCAAACCCTCAGGATCCCTGTGCAGTCCCGGGGTTCCCAGGCGAGGGAGGCTCCCCTGGACTTGTTGATGCCTGTGTAGCAGCCCGAGTGCCGCCAGGTGCAAGGGCGCTGGCAGGTTTGAAACTTGACGGCCAAGAACTTTACCCTCTAAGAAAGTGTCTGTGTGTCAGGACACTTTGATGACATCCCCCGCCCTGGCCGGTACCATAAGAAAGCCTTGATACTCTGGAGTGGCTGGGGCTGGAGTTTGGAGTCAGACTCTCAAACCTGCGATTGGCTAGCGGTGTAATCTTGGGCCTCAGTGTCCTCATCGGAAAAATGGGGATAACACCTGTCACAGGAGGTCGTTGTAAGTGGAGAACGACAGGTGGACCAGTTTGTATCTAAGCACCAGCCCAACTGGGCTTTGTCAGGATTTCTCTCTGTTTTCTCACTGTTACGTAGCATAACTACAGGGCAGTTGGGTGGACAGTTAACTACTTACCAGCCTGTACTTGGCATGAAGTGTGTGTAGACAGGAATGTGAAATACGTCCCTTAAATGTACTAATGAAATTACACCCAGCTTCGTGTGTTTCTACATACTTTTAAGTCCATAAGATGTCTGAAATGTCCTCAAGTTGCCAGTTTTTGAGGTCTTTTCAAGATCTTTTCTACCTGAAGCCAAAGCTCGTAACATAATCTTTATTTTCAATAAGAAGTTAAATTTATGCATTTTACTTTAGAAGACCCCCCAAAAGACTACAGATTCTCTTATGCAGTTTTGCTGTTGAAAAGCAGCCACCTCCCAGGGGTGAGGTGGTACAGCCAGCTGGCCCACAGCCCCATGCCTGCAGGGTGGGGAACCTTGGGCTGAAAGTTATTAAACAAAGTTTTGCCTAATGTCGTTTGCATTTTTCATAGTGAATCAAAGGGCTTTATGATGCTCAGTTTCGTAATGAAACAATTTAATAAGAAGCAAACCCTTACTGCTTTTTTCAAAAACACGTGCAAAGAAAAACGGACTCTAGTCTAGTTCTAGCGTTTGCTCCAGTTCTTTGCCAATAACTGTTAAAAAGAGCCCTGTTTGAAAAGGCTTCCAAAAGTCACATCCATTAGGATACATTTTTTATTTAGACTAAAATCATATGAGATGGGAGAGTAATATGTACACCATAATCCAAAAGTATTTATTGCAGACCTACCATGGCCGTAAGACTCTGCCAAGTGCTATGAGGAAGGGATTCAAAAGAGGTATAAAACAGCATCTCGGCCCATAAAGGGCAAAACCATAAAGTTTGGGTCACCCATTGGTAATTATGGGTACTACTTAAGTAATGACTTCATTCATTCATTGATTCACTCAACAAACTTTTGTTCCATGTTTGTAGTGTGTCAGGTGTTTTTCGAAAAGCCGAGGATATGAAGACAAGTGAGAGGGACTGGCCCCGTGGCCAAGTGGTTAAGTTCGCGCACTCTGCTTCGGCAGCCCAGGGTTTTGCCGGTTTGAATCCTGGGCATGGAGATGGCACCACTCATCAAGCCATGCTGAGGTGGCGTCCTACATGCCACAACTAGAAGGACCCACAACTAAAAATACACAACTATGTACTCGGGGGCTTTGGGAAAAAGGAAAAATAAAATCTTTAAAAAAAAAAAAAGATAAGTGAGATATGGTCCTTGCTCACGAGGAGCTCACAGTCTGGTGGGAGAGGCAGAAAGTGACAGACAGTTGTAACACTCTGAAATAAATTCTAAGTACAAACCCAGAATTGTATGGGAGAGTCAAGGGAGCTTTCCCTTTGACTTCAAAGAGAAGATGGTGTTTGAACTGAATCATTAGATGAAGGAGAGGAAGACCATTCTGAACAGAAGTAACTGAGCTTGGGAGAATTTCCTGACATCTTCTGAATGCAGGTTCAAACCCTAGCGAAGAGGAAGGAAACTGATATCCTTGATGCCCACTGTGTAACAGGCATTAAGCTAGGCTTTTAATGTATTACTTAATCCTCACAACAATGCTATGAGGTAGATTTTAGCTCCTCTTTAGGATAGGGAAACTGAGGCTCAGGATAGTTAAGTAATATTTCTAAGGTGACACCATTAGTGACAGCCAGCACCTGAATCTCTTACTTAAAAGTATAGTAAACCCTTTTCCTTTTAACATTCTGCTTTGTAGAAGTAAATATAAACGAGGTGAGAAAGTTCCACCTACACGTCATTTTGCTACATCTATTCACATTTATTTGTTAGAGCTTGTATAACAAAGATTATCTTTATCAAATGATATTTATTTTATGCTTATAAATGTGATGGCATTTGCTGAAAAGTGTGACCCGTGGAAACATTTAGTAAAAATGGAGGACATTGATACATACAAGGAATGGGATCTGCAGACATGTGGCCAATTAAATAGACAATGAAAGGAAAAAAATAGTTTTGAATAATTAATTTTTACGAAGGAGAAATTAGAATTTTGAAGTTATATTAACAACGATTGTTGTGTTATATTTAGAGAGACCACTATAGCAAGAGCATATACTAGATTGTAAGTTCCACAAGGGCAAGGATATTTGTTTAATTTGTTCCCAGCTTTAAGAGCAGTTCTTGGGACTAGTAGAAGCTCAGTAAATATTTGTTCAATAAAAGATGAACTTGAACAAATATATATTTACGGTGAGTGGTGTATGTGTGTGTGTAAATGTTAGGGTTGATAGAATTGACTGACATAAGGAGCATTTTCATCTGCTGAGAAAAAACTTTGGTCAGGTGCTTGTATTTCAGACGGTCTTTGAGAGAGAAGGGAGGACAGTGATTGAGTCCAGAGGAAGTGCTTTAGGCTCAGGGAGTAGTTTATAAATGGATATAATTTGGAAGAAAAGGAACATTGAACAAAGGGAATGGCTCCCCGGCACACTTCAACAAATAAAAGCACTGTGTATTTCTAAGGCCTTAATGGAGTTTTGAGAATCAAGCAAATAGTCTCTGCTCTCAAGGAGGTTACAGTTTTAGAGAGTAATTAGTTAGCTCTCTATCGCTGCATAACAAATTACCCCAAATTTAGTGTTTAAGACAATAATAAACATTTGTTCTCTCTCTCAGTTTCTATGAGTCAGGAGTTTGGGAACAGCTTGGCTGAGTGGTTCATGCCCAGAGTCTCTCAAGAGATTGCAGTGGTATGTCAGCTGATCATCTGAAGACTTGACCTGGGCTGGCGGATCCTCTTCAAGGTGGCTACTCATATGGCTGGCAAGTTGGTGCAGGCTGCTGGTGGGAGGTCTCAGTTACTTTCCGTATGGGCCTCTCCGTAGAACTAGTTGAATGCCCTCCGGGCATGGCAGCTGGCTTCCCCCAGAGCAGGTTATCCAAGAGGCCAAGCTGCCTTGTCTACTTTGGAAGTTACATATGATCTTTTCTCCAGTATTCTGTTGGTCACACGTTATAGGAAGGGACTACACAGCATGTGGATACCAGGAGATGAGGATCACTGGGGGCCATCTTGGATGCTGGCTACTGTCGTGGGTAGTGTAGAAAAAAATTAATGTTAGAAGAAGGTACAGAGTGCTGGGGAGGGGAGGGAATGATTTGGAGGAGGGAAGGATTGCCTTTGGGAAGATGAGGGAATTGGGAAAGATTTAATTCTTTTAATTGATGTTCACAAGTATTTATTGGGTGCTTACTATGTGCTTCCACATGGTAGGCTAATATGTGGAAGTGGACATTGAATTAGGGCCACATGAAATGTTTTAAGTAGTCTAGACCAGCATTGACACTAAGGACAAATATTTGATCTGTGTGTGTAAAATGAGAGTGGAGTCAGTTTTCTGATATTGAAGAGAACAGTGACTTATCAGAGTGATAGACAAGCAGCTACAGAGTAGAAGCAGTTAGGAGCATAAGTGCTAGAACCGTACTGCCTGAATTTGAATCCTGGCTCCACCACTTGCCAGCTGTGTGACCCTGGGTGTGTGATATGATACTCTTGCTACTTTCTCTTCTCAGTGACTCACTAACTGTAAAATGGGGATAATAATGTGCCTGCTGTGTATTGTTGCTATGAGGGTTAAATAAAAATATGCCAAGTCCTTGGAACAGCTTTACATACATCATTATCATCATCATCGTTATTATTTTTTGGCAGTAGCATAGAACTGGCATTGGTGAATGAGGTTGGAGTCAGAGATGAATGAATGTGAGTATTCAGAAAGAGGCATTTAAATGTCAGTCATTGCTGCTTCAGCATCAGTTTTTCTAGTTCAAGTACCTACGTCTAGATAATTTTTATTTTGAAAAGTAGAGTGACCCAGTGATTTTATTAGTTGAACTCCACAATTAAAATAAGACCTTAGGAGGTGCACAGGTGCCTGTTAAGGGTGTCTCATATCCTCTTCTTGTCCCTCTTTAAGTTACTGGGCCCTCTCTTTGCAGAATGGGTTTAGCCAGAAACAGTACTTAAAGATGCATGTGCTCCAGAAGAGCTTAGAGGTGGAACTAGGGCTCATAGTAAAAATATCTAGAATGATGGGGCCGGCCTGGTGGCGCAGCAGTGAAGTTCACACATTCTGCTTCTTGGTTGCCCGGGGTTCGCCAGTTCGGATCCTGGGTGCGGACATGACACTGCTTGGCAAAACCCATGCTGTGGTGGGCGTCCCATGTATAAAATCGAGGAAGATGGGCATGGATGATAGCTCAGGGCCAGGCTTCCTCAGCGAAAAAAAGAGGAGG